TATAAAAGAATTAATGTTAATTCATTTTCACTTATCACTAGGAAAGAACATGAGAAGCATATAAACTCTTAACGTTTATACTCTGGAGGTGTAAACCTTTAAAGTACGAACCAATCACTTCTGGTCATTTCTTCCAGTTTATGACTAAGAGAAGGGTCACATAATGCATTCATTTAGGACTGGATTAATTTTGTTTTTCCCATAAAAGAATTAATGTTAATTCATTTTCACTTATCACTAGGAAAGAACATGAGAAGCATATAAACTCTTAACGTTTATACTCTGGAGGTGTAAACCTTTAAAGTACGAACCAATCACTTCTGGTCATTTCTTCCAGTTTATGACTAAGAGAAGGGTCACATAATGCATTCATTTAGGACTGGATTAATTTTGTTTTTCCCAAGAAAGAAGTCAGAGACACAAGTAACTTTAAAACATTTTATTATTTAATACATTACCACTGGCATAATCTAGTGATGTTTTCAGTTGTATCTGTAACGATGAATGCCATTGACAACTAAGAGGATAGTCAAGCACCAATATATTCTTTAGAGGCCTATTATGGCTGTATTTGGCTTACCAATTTTCTGACCAAATCCCTTCCTACTGCGTTTTTTTCTGTGTACTGATTACTGTTCTGTCCCTCAAGGCATAGTAATATTTTAGTCTCTTAATTTTCACTTTTCTGCTGTATCTTGCTGGGGTGAAATAATAGAATTCCAGCTTAAAAAAAAAAAAGTAAAGTGACTTCCCAAAGACAAGATCACTCTGGGATACACAGGAGTGTAAAATAAAAAACAAAGTGGTAAAAATAATAAGCCCTTCTCAAACAACTTTCAGAATCCAGGTTAGTGTGATGAAAACTGAAAATCCCTCACGTTTACCAGTTGGTTCAATCATTTTTATCAGTTTCCACTATGACAAATGAAGGACTGCGAACTACTTCCTAATAGTACTTGGTGCCATTGAAGAGTGACAATACTCATTTTTATGCAAACAACTCAAAAGCCTTCTGATGACTAAGCTTTTACTCATACCAGATATTTCTGGATATAACAAGAATTTAAAATATTATACAATTCTTTTTACGTGTAACTTCTCAGATTTTAATACTCAAGCCTGTGGTTTCAAGTTATTGAATGAGCATCTTCACAAAATTAAAGTTCTCCTGAAACTGCTTCCCATCCATTATAGTATTCTTGCTAACTCATTAGAGAACACAGTATTTTTAAAGCTGAAAACAGGTGGTCGTGGCGTGGCGCTTTCATCTTCACTGCAATCGACCTAGCGTTAGCTGTCTTCTCTTTTGGATGTTTTCTTTGCCTTACATGGTCTGAGAAAAACTGTGCCCCCCACACAGGCAGAGTTACCAGACACTTGTCATTCGCTGGCAGTCCGACGGTCGGTCGCGGATACGGTGGGAGGTGGGGTGGAGGCGGCAGTCCTGGCCGGCGCACAGCCCTCCCGGTACCTCATCCTCTTACAGATCTTGCCCCGGCCTGCGGGCTGACCCAGGGGCTGGAGACAAGGACTCCGGATCTCCGGCTACTCCCCGACAGACTGTGGGAAACGAGCTTTTTCAACTGGGGCTAATCCAAAATTCCGCAAGGTCGGCCTAGCTCAGGCCAACTCGCTGTAGCGAGGAAGGTCAAGCTCACCTTGCGGTAGTACGCGCCCGGACGGCGGCTAGCACCGAAACAGGCGGCCACAGCAGAGTCTCCCCGGGTCAGGGGAGGACAGCCAAGTGGCAGGCCGGCCGGCAGCGACTGGCGGCTGAGGGTCCGCCTTCCCGGCAGCCCGTCGACTTCCGGACCTGCGCTCCGCCTCTCTGCGCGGCCCGGGTTACGGGGCGCGCCCCTCCCCCGCCCGCAGATTCCCGGCATGCTCCGCGGAGGAAGGGACGGAGTCGACAATAACAAACCAAGCCGCGGCCGTGTCCGCTGCCCTGCCGACCTCTCGGTGCTGCCTCGGGGTTCTCCTGTCGTCCCGGCCCCTCGGCTCTGACGGGCCGTGGCCTTCTTTCCCCCGGTCCCCGACCCAGAGCCGAGGGGCCTGACAACGTCCCTTCTCCGCCCGGACCCCTCCCTGCCGTCTGGAGTTCGGGGCCGCGGCAGGCACCAGGACACCGGCGGTTGTGTCAGTTGGTGGTGCCGGATGAGCGGTTGGTAGCTGCCGCCGACGAGGAGGCGGCGGCGGAAGATGGTGCCAGGGGTCGCCGGCTCTGCTGCCGCCCCCGACGGAGAAGGAGGTGCTGCCAGGTAAGTGTTGTCGCCGCCTGTGTCCCCTTCTCCCATCTGGCACCGCGGCCGCGCGGCGAGCCCCAGCACATTGGGTCGGGGGCGTCGGGGTCCGGGTCCGACCACAGCGCCGCCCGCTAGAGTGTGCGCCCGCGGGCCCAGTGCGTCCGGCCTCGGCAGGTGTCGCCTTGCAGTCGCCTCCCTAATACTACAGCTCTTGTGGAGACACACGGCTCGAGTCGAAGCACCACAGGCCTGTGGGAGGTGTAGGGTGGACTCACTCTGTCAGGGCCTGTCTGTTGCTTCCTCGGATGGGGCCTCCAGGGTGCCTCCCTGTCGCGCCCCTGGCCAGCCCCCAGCCGACTTACAGGAGTGGTCGAGGGGGAGAGACGCCCGAACCTACCGGGACGCATCCTTACTCGTTAACCACTGCCAGGCTCAGCCCTAATGGTGTCTTTGACTTGAGAAACCGGAGAGTGGAATTGGGCCGAGACCGATTAAAGCGTACAGTGGGAGGAACCGGGAGATGTCTTGTCCCGACCCTGGAGTGCGAGGATCAGTATAAAGTTACTCCTAGGAATGACTCAGCCTCTGCGCGCCCCACTGATAGATTCAGGATGGGGTGTGTGTGCGGATTTCACAACTTCTTTGGTAGAAACAGGAGAACAACAGGAAAAATGGCAGCTTCTCGGGGAATATCTTTATAGTTTCTTCCACCGCTTGGTGGATGTGCTGTTTATTGTTTACAGTTTCATGATCTAGTCTTTTTCATTATGACTCTTTAAAGTGTAGTCATACCACGAAGTGTTGTGGGCCTGGGTGCCAAGGAAGACTAATGTGCTTACTGTTGATAAAGAGTCACGTTACTACAAGACATTAAGCTAGATAGGAATGTTCACCTCAGGTCTTCTGTGCACAGAGCAGTGATTTGGGTTATATGAAAATGTGCCTATCTTGCTAACCACTTTATAGTTTCTAGTCTTTTGTGTGTTGATGGTGCTTGTATGGTTTATCCAAAGGGTTGGAAGGTTAGTAACCTAGGAGGAGAGCACTTTTAAATAGACAAATCTGGGTTAGTCAAAAAACTGATATTTATGTGTTTGATACATAGAGGGCTCTTCCAATTCTGATATTACTATCAGACACCTAAGGACCACTGAGGAAGGTGGTTGATGTGATTTTGGGGGGATTATTTGCTCTATAAGTAGAATATTGCTAAGGTTCTGAAGATATTTTTGCTTTCTGTATTTAATGTAACAATATGGCCTAAATGAACATATTCTCTCAGTAGTAGTCCTATCATGTTTTTATTTTAGTGTTTCCATTGCATTCTAAAACCTAGAGTTTTATAAAAGGGATACTTTATGTTCATAAATGTTTACGTTGGTAAATATCTGTTGATGGAAATTGTATATGGACTTAGACCATTTTTTAAAAGTAATTCTATTTAGTTTATTTTCAGTCTTTTATGTTAGCCAAAGTTATGATTAGTTATTGGCCTAATTCTCATATGGTTTTATTGAATGACAGAGAAAACAGCGAAGCAGTCCTGTTGTCTTTGAGAAAATTTTTCTGGCCCTTGCTGACAAATACAAAGTCAGAGTGCATGGCACATTGACTTTTAGCAAATCAAATTCATAAAGTCTGAAAGAGCAGAGGACACAAGACCTTCGTTCTTGAAAGCCATTTTTTTGAACCTGAATTTTTATTATGTAAGCTTGAGAGAAGCTTTTATTTGGCTCTAATTTTTAGATTGTCATCAGAATTTCATGCATTCAGTGAATGTTTGAGCACCTGCTATATGCTTTACTCTGCAAATGTATATAACTTATGAATGTTTTTTTAAAAAAGGAATGGCTAGTAAAATTTTCTCATTAAGGTAATTCTATTATTCTCTAACCCTAGTTAAGCTTTTCTTGTGTAGTATAGAAAATACTGGCTCAAGAAACTCAAGTGAAAATATACCAATCCCTTTCTACACACATTCATTCCTACATTTATTTTACTTACTACAGAGACACCATTGAACCAGTTACTATGAGGACTATAAAAATGTGTATGAAATTATTCTCACCTTATAAAAGAAAACTGGATTAATTATGATATGAGCATTATTGGAAATTTAAGGAAATTTATTGACGAGATTTGGGCTTTTATAAAGTGTAGGAGGCTATTTCCAGGAGAAGAAAAAGCATGATCCAACATGGATAAGTCACTGCAGTTCTATTTAAAAAAAAAAAAAAAAAAAAAGTGTCCCACCCAGCCCAAGTTTTGATAG